TAAGAAGAATAAGAAAGAAAAAGTCAAAAAAGAAGAAAGAATCACTAAATAAATAAATTTAATTAAACATGCTTGAGTTCTATGAACAATTTGGGACATTAGTATTTATTATCACTGCATCATTTATTATTAAAATTATTTGGTTTAGAGGGATTGTAAGAGAAAGTAGTGGGTTATTAATGAAAATAATGTTTAATTTAACATTTCCATTTGTTATATTAAAAGCATTAATTAATACACATAGTTTAGATATTGAATCACTTGCAATGTTTGTGTCAGGATTTATATTTCAAATAAGTATTGGATTAATTTCTTTCATTATATTTAAATTTATAATAAAAAATGGTATTGCATGGCAAGTTGAATTTGGTGGATGTATTGGATTAAATATTGGACTTTTTTTATTTCCAATATTAGAAACATTAGATCCTATTAATGGGGTTACACATGCTATTTTATTTAATATTAGTAATGATGTTGCTTGTTATTTAGTTCTTAGACCTTTATTTGCTTTAATTGAAAATAGTAAAGATAGTGATGATGAAAAACAAAATGAAACGATTGATATTCAAGTAGAAATGAAAGAGTCTCAATTAACAGAAAATGAATTAAAAAGTGATGACGAACGGAAATCTTTTGATAATGATTTGTTTGATATTAAAGGAACTCCAACTCTAGGAAGTTCAACTATTGTTCCACCAAATGAAGAATCAGTAATGAGAACATCACTAGATTTATATCCAAACAAACCAACTGATTTTATTAAATATGGACAAAAGAAAACACTAAGAAATGAAAAACAAAAATGGAAAGAAATTATTAAAAAAATTATTATCTCTTTGATTACTTGTGTACCTTTATATGTTATGCCAATTGGTTATTATATTGGTTTAAACAATATTAAACTACCTCGTTTTATTAATAAAATTATTATTACAATATCATCAGGAAATACTTTAATGGCTTACAATTTATTAGGACTCTTTTTTGAATGGAAAAATTCTTGGCAAACTACTAAACTTGCTCTTCAAGCTCTTATGGTTCGTTTAATAGTTGGAATATCTATTGGGGTAGGTTTATATTTCGCACTGTCTTCATACATCACTCAATTAACTAGACTAACAATTACATTATGTTGTGTTTGTCCAGCACCATTATTAAGTATTATTTATAGTGTAGAATATAATGTTACTCGATTAGATGTGAGTGCTGCAATTGTTAGTTTTTCTGTAGTAACTAGTTTCATTACAGTATTCATTCTTACTACTTTATTGTCTTCTTATTAATCATAATTTATTATTAACTAAATTTTAAAGGTTTTGACAAGAAAATGCATAAACCAAAACGAAGAACTAATGACATATAAACCATATCATCTTTATTCTTTCTTTAAACAATCTTGATTTAATTAAAAAGATAATAGTTTATAGTAAAAATTTACTTCTTTATGAGGTAGAATATTCTATGTAGAATCAACTAATGATTCTAAAGTTTATCAATGGCAAACAACTTCATTCTTTTATTAATGATAATAAAAAGAAAAAAACAGAAAGAAAAGGAAGATTGAAAGTTGTACTGAAAGGAAATGTTATAAAAATATAAATGAAATTATCACAAGAACTGTTTAAATAAAAGGGTAAAAAAAATAGTCCAGAAGAAAAAATCATAATGAGTGAACAACGTGAAAAGGTTATCAATGAAATTATAGATACAGAGGTAAGTTATTTAAACTCATTAAGTGAATGCCGTGCTTTTTATTGGGATGATATGCGTTTAAGAAAACCTAATACAATGGTTGTTCCAATGGAAAAAGTTGATGAAATATTTATTGGATTTGAAGATACTATTATTGTTTCTCAATATTTTTGTACATTACTTAAAGATTTAAAGAAAGAAAATAAACACTATACAAATATTCAAGATGCATTTATTAAAGCTGCTCCATTCTTTCTTTATATGAGAGAATTTATTGGTAATAATTCTCATGCACTAAAAATTGTAAATAGTTATAAAGATAATAAAAAAGTTGATTGTTATTTTGAACAAATACGACAATGTTTACCTACAAAACCACAATTAGATTTAGGTTCAATGTTAATTATGCCAGTACAAAGAACACCACGATATGTATTATTATTAAATGAAGTTTTAAAACATACTGATAAAGAAAAATCTCTTGAAACTTATCAAAATGTAGAAAAAGCTTATAACATAATGAAGGATGTCGCATCACAAGTGAATGGATATATTCCAGAATTTGATCGAATACAAAAATTACGTATTGTAAGTGAATACCTAGAACCTTCTTTACGAGAGAATTGGTATTGTAAAGGAAGAAGTGTTATTGAAATGAATAAAGATGCATTATGTGGATTAGTTTATTCAATAACAACAGATTATATTGTTATTGGAGAAAGAAAAGCAAAGAATATAACTGTACCTGTAAAAACTATTTCATTATTCAAACCTCAAATTCAAAGTACATTAAATTTTGGTATTACTATTACTTCACATGATAATAAAAAAACTATTACATTATCCTTTGCTTCACAAGAAGAAGTTAACCAATTTATTAATAAATTATCTAATATTGTTATTGGGTGTACAGAAGAAATTTATCAAACATTAGGAAAAAAGTGTTGTGTATTTTGTCATAAAGCAAATATTTCAACTAAATGTCCTGTTTGTAATAAAACTGTTTGTGATGAATGTAAAAATGATAAATCATGTTATTCATGTCAATTTGAAAATATAAGAATTGAAATGAACAAAAAATACTTATACGTACCAAAAGACCCTATTGTTATAAAATCATTTAATCAATTGTCTCAGAGTATGAAAGAAAAGGAGATGATCCAAGACATGTATGCTGAGTTAGGTGTTAATCAACCTAAACCTACATCAAATGAAAAAAGAGTTGATCCATTCACTGCATTTTTACAAGGAGATCAAAAAATAGACACAGAATTCTTTTTAAATTTTACTAAACAAGCTGAAGAAAAAAGAAAGAAAGAAGAAGAACAAAAAATACTTGAAACGTTAAAAGGCAATACTTCAACTAATAATAATACTACTGTTTCTGACAATATTCCTCCTAACACCCAAGAAACCACATTAAATCAACAACCTCCTAGTCAAAACATTAATAATTTAAATCAATTACCACAACAACCTTTTACTGTTCAACAACAAGTCCCTGGACAGTCATTCCAACAACAACAATATCAAGTAAATTATCCTCCTAATACCCAAACATATCAACAACAAGTTCAACAACCATATTACCAACAAATACCTCAACAACAATATTACCAACAACCAGTCCAACAACAATATTATCAACAACAACCCCAACAACAATATTATCAACAACAACCCCAACAACAATATTATCAACAACAACCCCAACAACAATATCAAATGGGATATGGTCCTACTACTCAGACATATCAACAACCACCCCAACAACAATATTACCAACAATATCAAGGATATGACCCAAATTCTCAGATGTACCAACAAATGGGATATCCAAATTATCCACAACCAAACTATGGTTATTCTCCTTATGGATATTAATTTATTGATAAAACTTTTAGTATTCTAGTATTTGATCTTTAGACCTCTTAACTTCACTGTTGTTTCAAATAAAAATTCTCGGAAGAATAACTATTGACTCTCTAATACTCTTTTCTCATTTTCGTTTTTCTTCTACTAACTATCTTTTCTTTTTGATTGGTGAATATCGATGGGGTATTAAATCGTATGGTTTGTGAAACAATTACTTGTATTTTTAGAACTTTTTGAAGGGAATATCTAATTTTTGAAAAGGGAGAACTCAAAATAGGCGGTACAGCTTCAAATCTTAGAAAAAATGGTAAAAAAAAGATTATCAGTTGTCTGGACACTAAAGAGAGATCTTTCTACTTTCCTAAAATTCTCAAACCCCCCTCGAAAAAAAATCTAATTGTTCCGAAGAATAACGAAGGAAAGAGTTTTTTAATAAATAGGAAAAATGAAAAAGAAAAATAAAAAAAAGAGGATTTTGAATTCGTTAAAAAAAGATATAAGATATAAATAGAACATTGAAATATAAAAAGAGCACAAAGAGTCATCTACAAATGAAATTATTAAAACAAGAAGAAGATATGAAAACACATGAAGGTAGTTTAATTAAAGAAAGTAGAAGTGAAGGTCTATTATTCTTTAGAACAAAAAATGAATATAAAGATTTTTATGTTATTCAACAAGGAATTTTACTTTCATTTTTAAATAGTTATTGTTTAATTAAAATTAAAAAACAAAAGAAACAAGCACTTGTTACTTCAGCCTATCCTATTGTTACTCAATTAGATTTTGGTAATGAAGAAATTGATGTTCAAGAATTAGCTGATTCTATTTGTAGACCAATTTATGAAGATGAGTGTAAGTTAGTTAATAAGAAACAAACTGCAATGAGAAGGTTTGAAAAGAATAAAAAAGTATTTGTTCAACATCTTCTTATTGATATGTTAACTGAAAAAGGTTTTTATTTTGAATCAAAATTAGCTAGAAAAACTAATAAAACATTTAGACTTGAACGAATTGAAAAAATTTATTATGGAGGTCGTTTAATTATGAATTTTAATGATTTCTTAGAAAGGGGATATGCTGTTAATTCATACCTTAATTCTCAATTCAAAGATAGTTCTTCTGCTATCATCCCAAAACAATCAAAAGGTCTAAGTGATCTTATTTTAAAAGAAAATCTTTATAGCCAACCAATTTTTAATTAGAATGTTTTTATTTCCTTCTTGTTTTAATTTATGTAACATTAACTGAATGATTGACAAAATCTTTGAACTTCTTGATTTATTTCTTATCAATTCTTTTCTTTTTATTCATTTTTCTTGTTTTGAAAAAAATCGTTTTCTTTTTCTTTTTTTCTTTTATTATTTCTTATTATAATTATTTTTATTGTTTTTTTATTATCATTCAAAATATTCACTATAAATAGTATTTTTTATTATTTTCTTTTGTTTAAACTCCATTTTCTTTTTTTTTTTATTTCTTCTAAATACCAAATATTATTTTTAATTAAAATTCAAAATATTAATTATTATCCTGCTCTCCTTGAATTTTTCTTGTTTTTTATTCTTCTTTTTGTTGTTTTTAATATCAATCCCAATTGTTCCATTATTTTACTTCTTCATCTAAGTTAATTTGTTTATATGATGATAATCATATTACTATTGATGGAAATACTAATCTTACATTTACAGAAGATGTTAAAAAAAGATTTGAAGCATATAATTGGAATGTATTAAAATGTAATGGAGATGAAGTAAAGAAATTGATGCAGCACTTGTTTTAGCAAAAGCATCAGATAAACCAACTCTTATTTGTTGTAAAACTACTATTGGACTTGGTATGCCAAATAAACAAGGTACTTGTAAAGCACATGGAGAACCACCAGGAACAGAATTAGAATTAATGAAAAAAGCATATAGAGTTACAGAAGAATTTCATATTGAAGAAGATATTTATTCAGTTTATCATGCAGCATCAGAAAGAGGAAATTTAAAACATAAAGAATGGAAAAAAATGTATGAAGAATATAAAAAAGAAGAACCAGAACTTTCAAAAGAATTTGAACGAAGACTTAAAAGAGATATTTCAAGTATTTCAGAATTATTTAAAGAAGAAATTAAAGAAGATGAAAAAGGTGAAGCTACAAGAATTAGTTCAGGAAAAGCATTTAATGAAATTGCTAAAAAATTACCAGAAATAATTGGAGGAACTGCTGATGTTGGAGGAAGTGTTAAAGTTGTACTTCCAGGAGTACCATTCCATGAAGATCCTAAAGGAAGAAATATTCATTATGGAATTAGAGAACATGCTATGGGAAATATTGTTAATGGAATGAATATATATGGAGGATTAATTGCATATGGATCTACATTCTTTGTATTTAGTGATTATTGTAGACCAACTATTAGATTAGCAGCACTTTCACATTATCCATCAATATTTGTTTTTACTCATGATTCTATTGGAGTAGGAGAAGATGGACCAACACATCAACCAATTGAACATCTTCTATCATATAGATCAATGCCTAATTGTGTTGTTATTCGACCATCAGATGCAAATGAAACACGTGTAGCATGGAAAATAGCTATTGAAAGAAATAATGGACCTACTCTTTTGATTTTGGCAAGACAAAATAGTAAAATTATTGATAGAACAATTTTTGCATCATCAGAAAATTTAAGAAAAGGAGGTTATGTTTTGAGAGATTATGGAACACCACAAGTAATTCTTATGGCTTCAGGAACTGAAGTAGATATTGCTATTACTGCAGCAGAGAAACTTCATAAAGAAGGACTTGGTGTTAGAGTTGTTTCCCTTCCATCATGGGAATTATTTAATCAACAACCTGTTGAATATAGAGAATCAGTTCTTCCAAGAAAGATTCATGCTAGAGTATCAGTTGAAGCTTCATCAACTATGGGTTGGGAGAAATTTATTGGAGATTGTGGTGTTGCTGTTGGAATGCATTCATTTGGAGCATCAGCTCCAATCAACAAATTATATGAGAAATTTGGTATTACTTCAGACAACGTTGTTGAAGCTGCACACAAATCAATCGAAAATGTTAAGAATTGGTAATTTGATTATTCTTCATTTTTTTATTTTTTATTTTTAATTATTTCAATATTCATTTTAATTATTTTATGTTTCTTTTTATCTTTATTAGTTAAATTAACTTTTGTTTCTTTTTAATGAATTTTGTTGTTATTTCAAAGTATATTCAAATTAAATAATTGATAAATCTTTTGATTACTATTAAAGTAAATGAAAAATCAATTAAAAAAAGTATATCATGGAAGGGAAGCATATTTTGATTGTTTCTTTCTTTGAATAAAGAACATAAAACCACCATAAACAATAACAAATAATGCTCCAATGATAAGAATACAAATTAAAGAAATTAAGAAAATGATTCTTGATAGTTCAAGATCCTTTTCTTGTTCAAAATTAATTTAGATATAATAAATGACAAAAGAAAGGAATTAAAAGAATGAGGATGAAAATGGATTAAATGAAATGATAAGAAGAAATGATATAAAATGTAAACTGATAATAAAAAAAATGGAATAGAATAAAATGAATGAAGAAGTAATTGATTAGATTAATTATTCTTCTTTTGAAATTAAGGGAAGTCTATTTATTGGTTAATGTGTTTTGTTTATTTGAAATTGATATTACAAACATTTGTTTTTTCCATATTTCAATTTTAGTTTGTTTTTTAGTACGTGCATTTGCAGGACTTGTACCTGGCATTATGACATATTTAATATTAGGTAATTCTTTAAAGAATTTATGATAAAGTTTTGAAGGTCCTTGACCATTGAAAAGAACTGTTTTAATTGTTGGATGTTCAAGTAATAATTTGTTTATTTTATTTGGTTTTACCTCTTTTATATCACTATCTAAACTACCTTTTCGTTCACATTGACAACACACATCCCATAATGCAATTTGACATGATTTTATTAGTTCAATTCTTTGTTCATATCGTGGTGGAACACTCCCCATTGATTTTATTGATGAAATAATTGACCAGAAACAATTTTGTGGATGTCCATAATATTGTTGTTTTTTGAGTGATTCA